ATAAACTCGCGCCATTCGAGTTGGTGTAGGCTGAGCTGTTGCTGCTGCAACAGCAACTGGAAAACACACAAACACATACATATGTATGTATATACACATAGAAATTGTATGATAAATCAACACTCACTCGACGGCTAATTAATTCATCGATTAGGCCAAAACGCACTACCAAAACGACAATCAGCAGTTGCATGGCCAACACGGTCAAGACGCCGAGCAGGCAACAGCGCAGCCGGCGATGCAGGCGGCCGGACATCGCGGCGTTTGCGACCGACTGTATGCCACATGCTGGCAGCGAACGCGAAAACCCGTAACGCCGCACGCGTCGCCAATGAATGCGCGCCGTAATCGGGTTTCTGGCCAAATGAATATCAGCTGAAAACTGATATTTCAGGTGTGTTTATTTGCCTCGATGTAGCCATGAGTGTGTGTCGTCATAAAAAGCTGAAAATTGAAAACTAAAAACTGGTCGCTCAATCTCGACCCTCCCCTCTCTCTCTCTCTCTCTCTCGGTCTAGCCCTCTCGCTTGCTCCCACTATCTGGCTGGCTGTCAAACTTGTTGCTGATAAGCCGTTCGATAAGTTTGGCAAATATTTGTGTGCAGCTCGCAAGGTGTTAATTATGCCACATGAAATCTATATATTACCTGTCATGCCTGTCAGTTAGTGGGCGTACACATACATACATATCTCCGAAAATACATATAGATTTATAAACAAATTAATATATTGCGTGTTATCATTTGTAATCACAGTTTGCTATTTCAATTACATAAAATAGAAGCACTTGACAAAGTTTTTTCCTTGGATTAGTTCGGAGTGCGATGGATTAGACAATGTCTGCTTGGACTCGTTGTTAAATAATAATTTATATATTAACGGATTACAGCTTGCTTAAAGAGAATAATAATAACATCATGTGTTTATTCAATGTTTGTTTATTTAGTTAAACTTAACTTTCGTTATAAGCCAGCCAACCCAACATATGTATATCACATTTTTTAAATAATAATGCTAATAAAAAGATATGTATACCCCCAGCTTTTTTTGATCGTAATCTAAGCATTTCAAAATAAAGCTATGCATTAGCTCCATTCGTATTCCATGAAACTAGAATTTATTTGCGATTGCTTATCTTCTAAATCTTGGCTACATGTCAGAGCCAAACCTATGGGGAATTAGTTGGTTTAAACGAATGTTTATGGCTTTAACAATGCAAGCTAAATAAATTGAAACTGAAACATGGCCTGGCCTGGGCTAAACAAATAATCAGTCGGCTTAGTCATAGTTGCATAGTTGGACCCTATTTCATTGATATCGATTATCAGCCCATACGAGAGTGAAGTCAGATGATATGAGTAGGCAAGCAAACGTTATGCTTTTTCTGATGTGATTTAATTTGAAATTGTTTAGCAAAGCGGAAGTAACTCATTCACTTAGCAACAAATCGGATGCCACACAGACACACACACACACACACACACACACGCACACATACAAAGCAGGTAAATTGAAGTGTTACTTCCGCATTGCATTAGGGTACAGATGCTACGTGTTGTTGTTGGCGTTGCTGCTGTTGTTGCTGTTACTACTATTGCCAGTGCTGTCCAGCTGCTGATTGACTTACGTGTGCCTCGTTTTAGTTTTCGGTTTGTCGTTGTAAATTTGTTGCCAGCTTTTACGTGCAACGGAAATGCATTTTCCTAGTCACGTTCAACTGCCAGACCCAAGCCAGACCCAGACTCAGACAACTTCGCAGACCAATGTCCAGTTATTGTTGTTGTTGTTGTTGTTGTTAGTGCTGCTGTTGCTGTCCACAGGTTAGCTAAGAAATATAACCAAATGGCACAACAGCGACTGGCAAAGATTCAGATTCATGTATTTCTCTTTGCATTTTTTATACCCAGCCAGCTCTTCTTCTTTTTATTTATTTTCTCTGGTTGGCCCGGGCTCACTCGGCGCGCCAATTTATTAGATGGCGCGTGATCCATGTTTGCCTCCCTGCTCCATAGATTAAAGTGCTTTTTAATGAATGCACCAGCAGCCAGCAGCGATCTCTAATTGTATGCAGCGTCGCGTGCGCAGCTCCATAATTAAATAGGCGCTGCTTGAGGGCCACGGCCACGGCCGGGCGTATTTCGATGGCAGCAAATTCAATATTCAATATGTTTTCAATTTGCCATTGTTGGCTATGGGCATGGCAATCGCATCAAAGGCGAACGCAAATGCCGTGGAGCAAATAAAAATAAAACGAAATTATGTCAATAAATGAATTATAAGGCGCACGCACAACGCCGCGTATACGCAATGCCCAACAGTTCAGCTAGTCAAAGCGGCACACAGACAACGCAGCACCTAATGGCCATGTAAATGTGCCTCTCGCACTCTCTCTCTCTCTCTCACAAACACACACGCTATTCCTTTCTGGATGTGTGTGTGTGTGTGTGTGTGTGTCGCCATGATTATTATTATATTGCCACTTACACATGCGTGGGCCGCTGTGTGTGTTATGATAATGTTAACAGCCGAGCTTCTAAAATTTTATTAGCCGTCGACTTATGGAACTTTGAAAATAATAACAACAGCAGTGAAAGTGTTTTACCCATCCTCACACAGCTTTTCGCTCTCTCTCACTCTCTCTCCCTCTCTCACTTCCTCTCTGGCTCTGTCTCTCGTTCTGTTATGCACAGCTCTTGCTCGAGCATAAAGAATATTGAGGAAATTGCTTTCTTTGCACTCACGGCACAACATTGAGGCAGCCAGGACTTTCCAGGACTCGCCACGACGGGGCGCACTCATTTCGAAATTGTTGCGTATTATCATAAAATTTTATATACAAACACACACACACACACACACACATAGACACTCACACAGAGTACGTGCATACTCATACAAATGCTTTGGCGATTTGCTTTGCTTTGTATTTTTCTTCCTCTTTTTTGCGGCACAATTTTTCGCAAATATTTTCATTGAGGCTTTTGGCTTTTTTTTTTTTTTTTTTTTTAATTTTTTCCTGCATACTTGGCCTACACAAACGTGTTTAGTTTACAGTGCATATGGAAGTATTTTCTAAAATATTTGCACAAATACAATTCAGTTGGCCCAGGCAGCGCTGCAGCTCCAAATATTTGATTTGATGTCAAGCATTAATGCTCTAAAATTTCATTTCGAGTTCTCTGTAGCAAACTGACAAAACGAACTGTAAAATACGAGAGTAGAGGAAAATAAAAGAAAAAGAAATCGTATAATTTGAATGATTTCCCATTTGCAGTTGGCATAAAAGAGAGAAACATTTTAATGATGTTTACACAGTTTTCATGTGCCATTCCATTTACCGGCAGTCAGCGCCGTCTGTTTCACAGCATTATGTGCTTTATTTCGATTGACTAGAACTTTTCACTATGCCCGGCGGAGTACTTTAGTTGATGACATTATCGCTGCAATACAAAAGCTTTCTTTTGCCATCCGCCCCGGCGTAGTCCTTGTCTGTCTGTTGGGCTTGGGAGGCGGCTGCCACTTCATTTCTGAGTTTACAAAGTTTTTTGTTGATGAAACAAACACCGTGAGCGAGCACAGACACAGACACAGCCAGACAGACACAGACAGACAGATGGTCCATTGAATGGATGTGACATGATTCGTGAAACCAGCAAATGTGAGTATCTCAGTATTTACATTTTAGCCAACTGACAACCATTTGACAGCGGAAATTTGTCATTAATTTAATTGCACAGTTACACTTGATATATTTATTTAAATATTTCGAATAGCATTCAAAGTTTTCTTTTCTCTTTCTCATCATACTTGAAGTCGCTGCTTAAATAATCTGCTCGTCCAGATTCGAGGCGGCAACTGTTCGGAGAATGTTTCTCACGAGCCTCTTCTCTCTCAGCAGCCTCACATAGACATCGGCGGTCGATGCTGTGGGACAATTGTGACCCATTATGTTCATGCCGCAGAAGGCGCCTTTCCACGCGTAGGGTAGTCCAAAGGTTTCCTCGCATTTATCTGTGTGCTGGGTATTCTCCACGCAGTTCATGGCGGGGGCTATCACCTTCGTACCATTGGGATCGTTATTGAGCTCCTGGCATTGATCGACTGGCACTTGAGGCACGAATTTCTTTAACGCCCTGGAATAGGTCCTATCCCAACTTAATTGCACAACTTTGTCCTTGGGTTTCACGGGTTCCATGCAAATGGGAGGCGGAGTCTTAAACTCTTGGCCCAGCGCCTTTGGCAGATTCAAAAGGGCCAACAGATGCGCACCACTCGAGATCGTATAATCTGTGGAATTCGAGACAGTAGACGCTATTTGGGCGGTGCCATCGCTGAAGTACAAATAGATCTTGGGTAGCTGCTTGTTGAGCAGACAGCTCTTGACTGTGAGAACTGTCTGGTTGTTGACCACGATTCCGGAGCAGAAGACCTTATCATTGTACCTAAGAGTCACCATGTACTTTCGCAAATCGGTCCGCTTAGTTCTAGAAGGCCGACTGCGACGATGGTTGATGGACCAATGGGCAGGATTGTAACCAAAGTGGGGTCTCCAATCGTTCCATTTATACTTCATTTTAATCGCTTTATAGCGTGCTTTATCCTCCGCCGGCAAATCATCAGCCCTCAACTCACTCTGCTGGCCGACAAGCATCAGCACTAGGGATAGTCGTATGATTTTCGATAGCATTCCAAGTAGCGAGCAGCGACAGAGGCACCAGAGGCATCGACGTCTATTTCCACTTTGCTTAGCTCACACCTGTGTCTCATATATTTTGCTACAGTTTATGAACTCTGGAACTATTCATTTGATAAGGCGTAACAAGTTGCATCAAATCGATTTATTGCAGCCATTACTACGCCGTAGCATAGGCTGCGTTTTACTTATTTTCGAACACTCCCAAAAATATAGAATATGAGAATGACACATTCCAATTAAATTTATTTTCATCTGGATAAAGGTGTACAAAATGTCATACAAAACAGATTTAATATCGACGAGCTCACAAAATTTTGTCTTCCACCTGGGATTCGATGATTCTAGCTAGCATTCTCCTTTCGTATGCCGTCTCATCCAGAACGAGGGCGTACAGATCGAACGCCCCGCCTGGGAGGCACCTACGACCCATTATGTTCATGCCACATATTTGATTATTGAAAACGAGTGGAGAACCGTAGTTTCCCGAACAGCCAGTGGATCTAAACTCTTTCGAATTTTCAACGCAAACTAAAGTAGTATCTCTATAGTCGAAAGTCTCATTTACCAGAGCGCGACAATATTTATGGGGCTTTACTTTGACCAATTCATTGATCACCCCCTGACGCCCATATACGGACACCTGTGCGATATTTTCAGGCTGCAGCCGGTTGGTGCAGGTGGCGGGTATTTCGGTATCATTTATCAGAGGCTGGTCCACGTGGATTTCAGTTAGCGAATACATAAAATAGTTTGTTACAGCTGTGATATTTACTGCAATCGTCTTGCCCTCTGAGGTTCGTATAGTTGTTGGACCTGAAACTAGGTTTAGGGCGCAACTGGTAGTCATTACCAAAACGCGGCTGGATTTTGGTATTCCCATGCAATATTTCTTCCGGCCGTCAATGACGCGCATCATTAGTTTGTCCACGTTCACTGTGTTGTTGGTTTTCGGTCGGCTTCCATTCGGCTTTACATTCACCGTCAGTTCGCCGGGTGCAGCTGTGGTCTCTGTCGCAAAGTGGGGATACCGCGTCACTGGTTTGTAGTCCCTTTGTAAGCCGTGCCTATGCTGTGGCCTGTAATCGGACAGCATATATCGATGATAGTGATATTTGGCCCCTTCGCTGCTCAACGCTACGGCAAGGAGAATCGATAGCGATAATAGCGTTGTCATTGTTGAAAGCTCTCTTCTTACTGTCTGAGATGCAATCAGTGTACATCTGAGTCCCGCCAAGGTCTCAAAACAATTTGTTACACAATCTGCAGCCGTACTAACTAGCGTCGATTTCTCGGTCTAATAAAAGTAAATAGATTGATAGCCGTATCGGTGACCTGTTTATAGATTGGACGAGAAAGATTTTTGAAAATGGATCGTAAGTAAATATATATTAATTTTATATATTTAATATGTTTTTATTTTGAATCATTTTGCTTTAGTACAAAAGATATGACAGAAACTTCCTTTGAATCCTGTGTTATCGGTAGACGATGTTAACTGAGCCTATACCTTTGCTGCTGGTCTTATAGCTCCGCCTGTTTGTGCTGCCTCTGTTGTAGCTGCCGTGTCTAATTTGTAGAATCCGTCACTGGTTCACTTGCCACCGGTGTTGTAGATTCCTCTGTTGGTTCTATTTCAGTTTCAGTCCACGCTTCAGTTTTCTCCGAACTTGTATCTAATGTAGTTTCCTCACTTTCTCCAAGGATGTCGACTTCAGACTGCAATGTTGTTGATTCAGTAATTACGCTCCCATTGAGCCCAGAGTCTGGAGTTGTGTCCGCATACAGTTTATATCGTTTTGTTGTGTATCCTTTCGCATACGGGCCCGTGCCCGTGAAGGCTCTAAGCATATCGGTAGCGCGCTGTATAAATGGCACCGCGTAACGCATGGTATAGTAGACATCGGCTGCCAGATTTCCCTCCAACTCATCACAGTTCTCGCCATAGATATTGATGCCAGCCAGCTTTTTGAAAACGATCAGCGGATCACCAGGGCGTGCACTGCAGCCGTGCTTCTTGCTCTTCACGCAAACTAGATCATCGTAAAAGGGAATTTTTCTTTTGCCAATTTCACGGAAGGCCTTCTGGCATTGCTTTTGGCTGATCACCTTGGTACTCAGCAGAGTTATATCGCGAGTGTAGGAATCTACATAGGATACAAGCACTTGCATTTTCGGCTTTAGCACTCTTCGGTACAGTTCAATATAGCGATACGTTCCCTTTTGCAATTTCGTGTGCAATGCCAGCAGTGCTATCTTATGGACATCCTCATGCTTAAACTTTCCGGCGGGCAAAAAGAATGCCTTCACGGGATAGACAACTCGCGCTTGTTGTCCGAAGTGATTGCCAGTCTCTATACTCATATCCTTAGCCTTGAATTCGTGCGACGGCTCCAGCTCGTTGGCCAGAAAGCAACGAGAGGATGTGATGATCATTCGGCGTGAGATGAGAGCTCCGGCGCAAATCACCGAACCTTTGTACAGAACGTTCACGTAGAAGCTCCGGTGGGTGCTGGGATCAAATGGTGGCAAAGTTTTTTTTATGCTCGGATTGTAATCACGTAAAAACAATGCTGTTGCATTATAGTCAACGTGCTTCGAGCTGTTGTGCGCCGTATTGTAATATGTTGGGCGATGATACTTCTCATAGAACGTGCTCACCCATCTCCCAGCGGCCAATTGCACACTGATCACTGCTAACAGAATCACAAATCTGTCCTTATGCTGTTGCATCTCTAGTTCTACTGATTGCAAAACAGAAAGCGTTTCACTAAATTTCCATTCGCTAACCATGTCGAATGCAAAACAATTCAAATTAGACACGAATCTTAGATCAACTAAATTTACATAAAGCAACGCTCTGTTCTCAGGGCATATCAGCTAGTGGTAGTCATTCAGCAAATGGATTGCACTCAACAGGTGTTCAGCAGTCCTCAAAGCAGAAAGGGAAGTGAAATCAAATGTGTGAGTCGCAATGCCAAAGATTGAGGCAAAACCTATAAATATCAAACAGGAAATGGAATGAAATCATTGCAGATGATGCTAATTGGCGTACGGTGGCCGTTCACGACATTATCCCGTGACAGCCAGACGAAATGTTTGAAATAAAAAATGGGAAATGTGATCATCAATGTGCGACTGGATGACTGTGATAAGGACTGAATGGGCGGAAGCTGCCAAAGAAGTATGTAACGAAGGTTATAGATAATTAATTTACGTTGATTAAAGTTGCCACAGCTGCCAATGGCAAAGAAGGCCCTCGACAAAGTGCAGCCTGTTGTCGAGACAGCCGGAAATTGGAGTGTTTGCAATATGTGCGCCGGGCAAGGGCAAGGCTGGCCAAGCTGAGCTCCTGCCCAGGCAAAGGAATTTCCAACTGACGGCGACGGCGATGGCGTCTAATTGATGGGCTGCAGTCAAAGTCTTTTTTATGCAAATGCTCTAAAGTTGACAGCCAACTGACTAACTGACTAACTGAGTAACTGCCTAACTGACGGTCTGTCCCCTGTCCCCTGTCCCCTGTCCGGTGTCGTCTGTCGACTGTCGACTGGCTGCCCGGCTCGGGCTCACTCATCAATTATTTAGAATATGTTACACTTGGCACATAACTTTACAGACATATGCTTACTAGGCCGTAAGCCGAGTCAGCTGCGCAGTCAGCTCTCCGGCCGTAATTGCCGGTCATTATGCTTAAGGGATAAGGTACTTCAAGAGCTTGCCGTTGCAAAAGGTATATGCCTAAAATGGAGCCTGACGTTGCCATCCACCCACTCCTGCACCTTCGACAGGAAGTAAGCTTGAAATAAATTCCAAATGATCAACTACAATATACTCTATATTATTTGATATAGTAAGTAGGACTCGATAACAATTATTGCAGGGTATGATGCAGCCCTGATGATCCATAGATCGTCATGGATAACTTGACTTCTTTTATTTTCCTATCTGGACGGTCTTTTATTGTTCTCTTGCGGCTTCCTTTGCAGCTCTAAGCTCCGCCCACATAGTATACCCTCTTGCTCAGCATTGTGTGGAGGGTATTGAAAAAAGGCCAAACTTACATGTGGCATATATACATAGCGTTTGGCTTACACGTGTTTTAGGTCCTCACTTGACGCATCGCGTTGAAATTTATGCGTACGTGCTCAGTTGAAAAACGCTGCCGACGACAACCCCGGGTCATTTATTATTAGCTGTGAAACGCGTGCCCGGATACGGACAACGGACAAATGGGCAAATGGGCAAATGGGTAACGGGCCACGGGCTAAAAGTAAGGCACATAGCTCGGCTCAGGGTTTTACGGTCTGCCTGGAGTATAACTTTTGGGTTAACCAAGAAGAACAAACTCTGCGCAATATATGTATGTACAGTTTTTATTTGCATACTTTGAGCGGCTGTCGACAGAAGGTGTTCAAATTCAATACACACTCAGGAGGCTGTCAAAATTATGTGCTGAAAATTGAATTTAAGAGAAATGTTTGCTTGTAAATGAAAATTATATTTATTGAGTTTTGCGAATCAATTGAGATTCTAATTAATTATGCTTTGAAATGCAGTCAAATTAAGGTTGCCACATACACACACACACACACACACACACATGCATACAAATAGAGGAGCTGGGTGAGATGTGCTCCTGACGACTGCAAATTACATGTCACTCATACGCCATGAGCGCCGAGATATAAACGTAAATACTTGTCGAGCTGCTGCTCCTGCTGCTGCTGTTTTACAGCTCATTATGCAACATGACGCAATCCTTTAGGAAGGGAAGGAAAAAATTCAGCATTATATATGACGTCTTGCTGCTATTTTCATATGCAGTCGGCAAAGCTGCCTGATTTGTTGTTAAGTGTTCAGCAGAAGAACAAATTCAATTTGGCCATCAAAAGTAAAATGCTTTAAAATGTTAGCAGTAGCAGAGTCAAAGCCAGTTGCATGCAGCTCAGTTACAGGTTTTGCTCCAGGGTCAGTTCCAATGTGTGCTAAGTGAGCGTGTGTGTGTGTGTGCTTGTCGGCATGCTTGTGCATTTGTCTTAAGCTGTTTGGACATGCATTCAAAGACAAAGAGAGACAGAGTTAGAGAGCAAGCGAGAGCGTATTGCAATGAGCGTTAACTGCTACAGGCAGCGGCATCTTCTTTGATTGCACCACTCGAATGTGCGCCCACCAGCACCCGCAAGCGGCGCCGCCCCGGCCGGCGAACCTGACGCTAGCTGCTGCCACATGCTTTTCCAAGAGCTACTGCCCCGGCGAGCGAGCGTTGTCTTCTACTCAAACACAGTTCGTTGCACATTTGAACATGCCCTCAGAAAATAAATGCAAATTTAGCAATGGCAAACACCCATACCAGAAGACCAATAGCACACATATAAACACACACACACACACACACATGCACAACTCACATACGTTGGCAATAGAAAAAGCGCTGCTCCTTTTGTAGCCGCTGCACATTTCCTGAACGCGTTTGCCACGTTGTCGCCGGCACTCTCTTAGCTTTCTCTCTCTCGCTCTATCTGTCCCTCTCTCTTTCTCTCTTTCTCTCTCTCTTTCTCTGTCTCACTCTTTCTCAATATATTATTTGTATAAATTTTCGATTTTCTGCTTCAACAGTCTGTCTGGCGCTGCAGCTCGCTCGCATCTCTTCACTTTATTTATTTCTCAAGAATTCAGTTTGTTCTTTTTTTTTCTATTTTCTTTTTTCATTTTTCCTATTGTTTTTCTGCAAACTATTTTTCCCATTCTGGCTATGTTCTCTTCACTCCCACATGCTTGGTTGCTGCTGTTCCTATGGTTGTTTTTCATCCTGTTCTATATAAGCATTATAGGTAAAGGATTCGCACATTCGGTATTGACTCGAGTGCATTGTCTTTTCCTTACAATATATATATATATATATTTTTTTTATTTTTGTGTTGGGGGCTTTGTTGCTTTTGTCCGCCTGGCAGCTTTAACAAAGAGAGGAGAAGTTAGTTTTTCTTTGGCCGCTTTGAAATTTGATTGCAACAGAAACCCAAATCAGGCCAAATAATGAGCAGATACTCTTCATCGATGTGAAACATAATGCACAAAGTTAAGGCTGCTTTAATTTACTTTTTATTTTCACATTACGCTAGCTCATTAAGTTTTATTGCATTTTCATAGTTCTATGCCAAGCCCCATACACATACGCACACACACACATGCACACATATACGTACGTACCCTCGCCCACATATCACTCAGGCAGCTTTGCCTGCTTGGCATCTGCTCTTAAACGTTGACTACTGCCTGGCGGCTGATGCTACTTAATGGCTAATTAGAAGTATAATTTACACCTTAATGACCCTGGAACAATGCTCTGGCTGTGCAAGGCCTGGCCTGGCTTGGTCTGCCGCTTCAAGCATACAACACAAGCTCGTTGAGCTAGCAAACATGGCTCCTGCTTTACACCTTCTCTACTTCACACACACACATGCATGCTTACATATTCGTCTTGTAGACGCAAAGCTTTATGTGAAAATCAGCGTCCATTAATAAAGACAGCAAGCGAAATGTTACGAATACGCCATGTACGCGCGCTAAGCATTAATCACAGCGGCAATATGCATATACCATCTATAGCATATAAAAAGGATAAATATAAATTTGTGCGTGCCTTTGTGTGTGTGTGGCGTAGCGTATTAATTTCATCGCAAATGCCTTTTACAGTGTGTGTGCGATTTTAGACAGTTTGATTTATAGCCTCGACCAAAGTGATTCTAGCAATTTGCTAAATTTGTGCGCCTGCTGCTTTAAAGTCCTATTGAAACGTAGCGAACATGTTTGACAGCCAGCAATATGATTATCTATACTTATCAGCCAAAATGCATGGCACAACAATTTGACTTAATAATAAGAGAGCATGCAGTAACAGAATATCGTATGGCTATGTGGATGGCTACAGCCACTGGCAACGTTGAGTTGAATGAGTTGCATGCAAAAGGGAATATTTTGTCACGCACACAAAATCATCCGAAGCGTCAAAAATGTTGTCACCTAACATGGTTATCCGGCGTAGTTATTCGGTGCCTGGCACACACCTGACCGGGGCCAGAGTGTTGGGTGTTGGCTGTTGGCTGTTGGCATTCGCCAGTTGATAGTTGGCAGTTTGCAGTTGGCAATACAATTTGCGAGTCGCCATGTAGCTGCTTTTCAATTGTGTGACATATTTTAATTTAATAAACTGCCAGCTTGGCATTATCACAGCTAGCAAATTGCCAAATGGCAGCTGTTGAAAACTTTCAGCTCAACTTCAGTACAACTGACACGTTGCGTATACGTAACGGGTGGCCGTGTGCACTGACATCAGCAAAAGATTTAATGGGCCCTTGGCTAGCGAAAATGCCATAAACTTTAAGTGCAAGAACTCAGAGCTTCAGATTAAAGATCAATTACCTTTTACGCAGAGGCATAAATCCCCTCTTTAAAGCCACCAAATCTAGACTGCGCCCTCAAAAAATAAAACGTGCTAGTTGCCAACGTATCACATTTTTTACTCTCCCATTTTTTTATTTTTATTTATGACCGCTAAAAATTCAAAATGTACGGCTATATAAACGGCCAAACGCACCGCGACAAGGACAATCGTCAAGGCATTAAGAAAAAAGGAAGAAAGAAAAAAAATCCAAAATAAAGAGAAGCAGAAAAAATATTACAACATTTTAATAGCGAAAATGAAGATTTATTGCCCGCAACGTAAACGCGACCAA